ACTTGCAGTCACATTCTAATGACTTTCAAAGGCCAAAATATGGTAAAAATCACTTAAAATATCCATCCCTTCCATGCTTTAGTTTAACAGGTAGGCTTTATATTTTGACATTTCTATATTTTATATATTACGTGCCTGTCTCATAACCCCGCTAAACATATACAAAAGACCACAGATTTAATAGCTTCTCTTCTCATAAAGGAACATCAACATTGCATCCAGTTATCAGGATATGACCCTGCTATGCTTCCTACCATTAGACAAGGAACAAGTTCATACTCTCTTAGCTTGTGATCTTGATTGGCAAGTAGCAATGGCTGACTTTATTGGTAATACCAGCTTCCATTTACCAGCCTCTAAGCTCCTAAACTTTTTACAAACTATGCCTGTTAAATTTGTATCTATTGTTGTCTCTAAGCCTTTGTTTCATGCCACTAGTGTCTTTACAAATGGTTCAGAAAAAACTGAAAAGACAGCTATAGTGTGGCAAGTTGCCATGCAAAATTGGCAACACAAAATCCAGGAATATTTTAAAACTATGCAACAGGTGGAGACAGCTACCCTAACGTTGGCTTTACAAACTTTTCCTCACCAAGACATAAATATAGTTAGTGATTCTGCTTATGTGGTGTATAGTATTACTCATTTAAACCTTGCACATGTGAAAGGCATTACTAATGAATCTCTACTAGCTTTGTTTCTTACAGCGAAAGAGCTCCTCTGTGCCCATTGTCACCATCTTTACATCAGACATATTCGCTGTCATTCTAGGTTACCTGGTCCTTTATTGAAAGGGAGTGGTCAAGCTGATGCTCCGGTATGACCACAAATGTGGTTTGCAGACTTTTCTGCTTTTTTGCAAGCTCAAGCTGATCATGACTTTTGTCATCAGAATGCCTGCCATCTTAAACAACAGTTTCATTTACCACTTGCTCAAGTTCACATAATTATTAAAACTAGTTCTGATTGACAACAGCATTCTCACTCTCCTTTTTCCTTAAAGTTTAGTGCCAACCAACGAGGTCTGGTGCCTAATGCTGTCTGGCAAACTAACGTTACTCAGTATCCACCTTTCAAACATTTCAAATTTCTCCACGTTACCATGGACACTTATACAAGCTTAATACATGCTACCCCCTGAACTAAAGATGCAATTGCTCATTTGTTTGGATCTATTATAACTTTAGGTCTTCTATAAAAACTGATAATGGACTTTACTATCTTAGTGCTCAACTTACACATGCTTTGCAACTTTAACACATAGAACATAAAACTGGTATTTCCTATAGCTCAACCGGTTAGGCCATTGTTAAATGAGCTCATCAAACTCTTAAAATATATCTTAACAAACAAAAAATGGGGAATATGGGGCTCTCTTGTTGAGAACATAACTTGTCATTGGAGAATCGACCAGCAATGACGGTGATGACTCAGAAGGCATCTGACATTACTTGAGGACAGCTAAAGAAATTGGATCAACAAGAAACTATCCAGCTTGCTGCCGTGGAAGCCATGCAGCTGCAGAGAACTGCTTTCTTATGTATCCGGCAGTAATTGGGGAAACTTCTGAGAAAGTAAGATAGACGTGGATGTTAGGGTGGCTGGTAATTCTTGTCCTTTGCCAAGTGGGATTGGCTCAAGAACATGTTTATTAGAGTCATGTTCTAAATCCCCATTTGCAATGTTATTACATGGTGGGATGCTGACCTGCCTTTGTCTTCTAATGATACTTCTTGGACAGGAGGTCAATAGATGCCCCTGTCTTATCCCTTAACTGAAAATTTGAAATGAATTAAACTTAATGATTCCTTGACTTGTCTAGTTATCCCTCTCTTTGTTTTCTGGAATAGCACCTAAGCATGTTACTCTCATTCCTCAGGAGTGTCTTTACTATCAGCCCAAAGGGATGCTAAACTTGTAGATTTGACCTTTATTTCTGCTGTTACTACTAATCTTACTAAGGTCTTTAATGAAGCTACATAAGCGCCTGATCTTCCCATATGCCACCTGAGTAGGGACTGACGATGTAAGTTCAATGCCATGCAGAGGGCCTCTGTATGATAATGGCACCTTACTTGATTGGGGTCCCCATGGTTATCTTATGTCTGCAAATCAGACTATTGGATTTGGGAGTCCCTCCAATAGTTCTATCACTTGGTCAGAGTATGGGCTTTGAGGGCCAATATTACAACTAAAATGGAAACTAGCTTTAAGCTCTGCTCATACTCAAATTTGGAGATAAGTACACCTCTTTTTTGAACAAATTCTTTCACATGGTGAGTACATTATTAGTGGCGGCAACTATATCTTCTTTTTGCAGAATAATGTTACTGATATAGTCCTGATTTGTATTATCCACCCCTATATACTTCTGTAAGGTGTTCCTAATATAGAGCAGAATCTATCCTTTTATAGTATTAAAGTCTCTTCCAGTAGGTGGTATGCTGTGTGCTTGTTTCATCGAAATGTTACCCAGTTAAATATAACCTATGTCATAATTTTAAAATGGCATGCAGAATTGTGGCTGCCTGTAAATTTAACCCGGAACTGGGAGGGAGATTCTACCTTGCAGTTATTCAGAAAAGCACATCTACAAGGGGCTTACCGTGACCATTTGTCTTCTCAAATTTCCACTTTTCCGTGTGAATTAAAGAATCAACTTGAAGAATGGTCACAGCAATTACAAACAAGTACTTTTCAGCAATTATGAAAGGCTTTCAATGGTTAAACGCAAACACTTGTTGTCTGGGTTAAACATACACATTTGGGTGATGGCTGTTATACTTTCTTCTTTGCTTGGCATCTGCACATGACTCGGTGCTGCCACCCAATGCACCTACAACCAGGGAAGAACACTAGATGCTTACCTTGCTTTGGATGGCCAGCATGCTCTAAGAATTAAAGAAGGAGGAGATATGCAGGGTGCATGGCAACTTATTAAGACTTATGTACATGTCATTTGAGGTCGGGGCATAGGAAAATACTGAGGCACTGTGTATGTTATTTGTGCATGGGAATAAAACTCCTTGACCCTGAAAACAGGACAGGGAGTGGAATGTGTGGTGTGATAAGGAATGCTAAAAACAGCCTTCTGAGAAAGCAGTTTGAGTGTGTACAAGGTCACAGGTGCCTCAGTAACCCACCTCAAATGACCATCTAGTGGATGTCTGTAGTTAATACAAGCCCTTTCAATAAATACTTGGTGGACAGATGCTGGGGCAGACTCTCTAGGAAGACTATTCCCTGTCCCTGCTCAGCTGGAGCTCTGTGAGTACTTTGTTCTTGGCATTCACTGCAAGTTATAAGCGCTGCAATAAGGAAAATTTGTCTGATTAAAACATAATAATTAGAAAATTCTTCATGTATTGAAATGGAAAATTTATCTGAATTGAGCCTAAATGACAAATGCAATATTCCAAATATTATGTTTACTATGCTTTCATGTTAAAATGAAGGGGAAAAATTAAAAATACTAATAATGTATTATATTTACATTTTATAGAACTTGAAAGGAAACACAGCAATTACTGATGTTGTTACCTATGATGGGGGTAAACCAGGGAAAGAAGGGCCTATAACCTAAAGAGGCTTTAACTTTCTACCTTTAATGTACAGAATTTTGGAGCATTTTTCATGAAACAGTATGAAAGAGAATATGTACAGGTTTTCTTAACAAAGTGGGGAGATCCTACAAAGGAAATAGAGTCACATATCCTACTAGACTTTTTAAACACAGGAAAACACTGTGGCAAGTTATAAAGGATAAGCGATTTTACATATTAATCCAAATTATTTCTCATTTGTGGAGGCAAACACAACATATTTTTAAATATTCAGCAGGTATTTAAAATATCTGATAAGACTTAAGTGAAAAATAAAAATAAATACATAATAAAGTATATATTCAGGAATTGAATAAAACTTAGAGTTAGGTTTAAGTTTACAGATACATTTTCAGCAACTATTTAGGCCAGCTAAGTTTATTCACTGAGTTATATTCCTCTAAGCTAGGAACAAAGGTTTTTCGATTAGACTGCAAAAAGATACAAAGACAAAGCCAATCAGAACAATATATAGTAGGTAAAATTAACAAAAAAATCCAGAATGGCAAAATCAAAATCAATGTGCAATCTATTAATTGATCACAGTCTATCAGAAATGAATTGCTCAATAGAGCACCAAACATATAAAAATTATTTAAAATACAAGGAAAACTGACTTTATAGTGACTATTAAAATTAGTAGAAAACATATAACAATATACTCTTCAAATGACTTGAGTTAAAGAGTAAATAAAAAGTTTCCATCTCGATTAAAGCTTTACTAAGATATCTACAATGTAAAATAAGGCCTGTGTTATATATCAGGAGTAATTTTTCATCTATTTTTAAAATCTGTCTAAAAGTAACTTTTAACATCTTAACATTCTGTGTATGTTAAAATAGTAACAGGGACCCTAAGAATCTGAAACAAATCTACCGTTGAAGAAATGATAAATAAATTTGAAAATTATTCACTTTAATAAATTGCTCCTAAGTCCAATGTTCCCTGGTGTCCTTTGAAATAAATTTACGAGGAGTTGAAACAAAAAAATTTAGTTAGCCTCATAACTAGCATTCTTTGAAGAGACTATATTCAAGACTCTTATATATGTTAAACACATATCAAATATGTATACATATATGTATGTATATACACATAAAATAGGGTCTCAAAATTTTGAATGTTGAATGATTTAGTTTCTGCCTTAAGTCAGTATTTCCCACACAAGATTTACATTGACATTGATTTGTATTATGTAATAATACCCATTATAAACATGAAGAAAGTTTCTGAGAAGGGAGGAACTTCCTCAGTGATAGGCTACCTAGGAGGTGATGGAGCTGAAATTTGAGTTGAAAAAGAGAAGCTGAGTTAAATAATGTGCCACATGATTATCTGTAATTTCTGTGATTTTTGAATTATAATATATTAGAAAAATTAAAAGTAATTCTCTTTACCTTACAGTAAAATGTAGAAATTTCTTTTTCATGGACTTCGGCTTTTTATCTGGATATTTCTTTTGATCTTGTTTTATTGATGATTTCTTCAAAGGAAGAACACAGGCATCAACTGGGGGAAAGAAGAGTTTGGAAAGAGTGCTGGTAATCCTCCACCCAATATATTTGGAGAAAACTTCTTCTCTTACATTTGATGAAATTTTTGTACTGTGCCTAGTGAAAGGATCTGTTGGATCATTTAACTCAGCCTGTTGAAAGAAAAGAGAAAGGAATTAGTTGAAACAGGATTAAATAGGAGAAAAAAATAATGTATTATTAAATTTTTTAAAAGTATGTTTATTTACTTTGAGTAATATTGCATTCTTTCTGTTAAATAAAAATAATCTTTATAAGAAAAAAATTGCAGTTTTCCAAAAGATTTCAAAAATCCTAACAACAAACTTTCAGTGAAATAAGTAAACATTAATGCATCCAGTTTTGAAATTTTGAAAATTGTATAAGGTAATTTTTATTTTAAATTTGGTATACTTGCCATGTAAGAATTTCATAAGCATTCTGAAATTTCATTTAATGAGAAATTAAGCAATCAGTTGAAGGAATGTACATTTTATTAAATCGGCCTTTTATTTTTTATGCACAATCTAAACTGTTCTTGATATCAACAGAACATTTTTTCTTTCTTTCTTTTTTGAGATAGAGTCTCACTCTGTCACCCAGACTGGAGTGCGATGGTGTGAACTTGGCTCACTGCAACCTCTACTTCCCAGGTTTGAGTGATTCTCCTATCCCAGCCTCCCAAGTAGCTGAGACTACAGGTGTGCACCGTCATGCCTGACTAATTTTTGTTATTTTTAGTAAAGATGGGGTTTCATCATGTTGGCCAGGCTGGTCTCAAACTCCTGATCTCAGGTGATCCACCTGCCTCAGCCTCCCAAAGTGCTGAAATTACAGGCATGAGCCACCACGCCTGGCCAAACAGAACATTTTTATAAAGCAAAAATTGTAAGTGAAAAGCAAATACGAGTTTTGTATTTTGCTTAAATTGAAGATGTTTTAGATTTTTATTTTGATTATATTGAATATGTTCTAACACCAACAACTAAAAAGAATATAACAATTTTCTATCATTTAAGCAATATTTATTCAGGAAAGAGCTATTTTCTGAAATTTCCTATTTATGTTTGATAATGTTCAGGACTAACTTTTAATTACTTCTTTTAAAATGGCCAGGGGCATGTTTTCCTTGGCTGGAATCAGTAATAAATGAAAATGTAAGTAAAATGGCATATAATTTTTTTATTTTCACAGTATGTTCATACTGCTAACTCTTTTTCTTGTAAATAAGTTGGATGCTTCCTTTTTTCATTTGTTTTTACAATTTCATTGAGTATTATGTCTTCAGGGAGCTCATTACTAGTCACTCAGGATTTATTTCAGAGGCATATCTATCTTGTGAGAGGAAAGATAAGAATAGAAAATGTTTTCTGTATATGAACATCTAACTTAACCTCTTTCAGATTCTAAAATTAGGCCTGGCTCAATTAAATTACTGTTGAAAGATTATTGAATTATTTAGACAGAATTATAGTGGAAAAAATGAGTATAGTCTCAGGATATAGACTGAAAGAAAAACAGTTAAAGCAATGAGAAAAATAGCAAAAGGCAGGTATGCAAATATGTGTTATCTTGAAAGTCATAGACGATGAGAAACAATAACATGAAAATAAAAACACTGACAAAGGATAAGGTGAAAAATCACACAAGTAAGCAAGCATATGATTCAGTAATCCCACTACTGGGTATACACAAAAGAAAATCAGTATGTCAAAGAGAGAGCTGCACAGCCACGTTTATTGCAACATTACTCTCAACAGCCAAGTTGTAAAATCAAGCTAAGTGTCCATCAACCAATGAATGGATAAACAAAATGTGGTATATATACACAATGGGATAGTATTCAGCCATAAAAATAGAAGAAAATTCTGTCATTTTTAACAACATGGATGAACCTGGGGGACATCATGCTAAGTGAAATAAACCAGGCACACAAAGACAAATATCACATGAGCTCACTTACATGTAGAATCTAAAACGTTTATCTCATAGAAGTACAGTAGGCTGCTGTTTAGCAGGGGCTGAGGGGTGAAGGGCTGGGGAGATGTTTGTCAAAAGACTTCAGTTAGATGGGAGAAATAAATTCAAGAGATCTAATGTACAACATGCTGACTACAGTCAATGCAAATACATCATATCTTGAAAAATGCTGAGAGTAGACATTAAGTGTTCTCAACAGAAATAATAAAAATGTGCGGTTATGCATTTGTTAATTAGCTCAATTTGATCATTTCACACTGTATATATAAAACATCATAAGAAGGGACTGTGTTCTCTTTCTGGGTCCACAAGGGGGCGTAGTTTTAAGGGCAAAAACTTCCCAGTGCCATGCCCCCTCCCATCTCTCTCCATCCGGGAGATTTAACAATTTTTGTTTAATTTTTGTGGGCATGGGAAAAGGTCACAAGTCAATCACTCCAGCGGAAGTTTAAAGGAACTCTTTTCACTAGTGGGTGGGGGGGGATTGGAGAAGGTGGGAATTCCTTCCAGGTTAAAAGTCCCTGTCTCCCTCATCCAGGCAGATTTCCCCTCTGGGGTCCCCTTCCACACAGTCTCTCATGAAAGCTTTCTCTCTTCCACTCCTTTTTCTCTTTCCCTACCTAAATAAATCATTTTTCTGCAAATGCTTTTGGGGTCTTCTATTTACTTTACAAGTGCACTCACTGTGGTGCCCCTCTCCCATTCTTGAGAGCAGGAAACCAAAAGCCTGGAGCCCATCGGGGAGTGAGCTAAGCACTCCCCTGCACCCCAAAACTTGCTTACAATGTTTTACACAATAAATGTATACAATTTTATTCTTTAGTGTAGAAAAATTTTTAAAGGTTAAAAAATAGTGACACCACCAAAAAAGAGCTCCTTTTTTTTACTCAACAGTATTGCACAAATTAAGATATTATGGTGAGCTCTAGAATTACTAAGAAAGTTATGAATGAATAAATGAATGAGTAAACAGATGGCCCAAAACAAAATGATGTTTTCTCATGATATAATTTCTGGTAAAATACATCATAATCAAAGACAACATTACCCTGTGAGGGAGGAGAATAGGATCTGGAAAAAGGGAACCTAAAGCCAATTCACACTGACTTCCTAGAACTAAATCAAAATAAAAATCCCAACTTTCCTTGCCCAAGTTACAAAAGGACCAGAGGCTACTCTCCTTGCAACCTCTGCTTTTCTGTGTGGCAAATAAAAACTGAAAGTACCTCTGGTTGGTCCTTTTCCATAACCAATCAGACTGATGGCAGATTAAGTAATTATTTGCATAGGATTTTGGATTTCTTTTTCTCCTTTCCCCTTTTCCTCTCTAATCCATATAGGGGAGTCTTTGTTTTCTCTCTCTTTTCCTTTCCAATTTGGGATCCTTGGTGTGCAGTGCCTAAACACAGAGCCTACTGCATGTTTCTGGATGGGGTGAATCTCTGGAGAAACTAAAAGGTTTCCATGTGGAAGCACTTGACTGCCACCAGTGGGTTCGAGTAAGGGACCTGAGTCCTTTTACTTTTTTTTTTCTTTTTTAGTATTTCAGCAGCTGTTTCCTAGTAGCTCCTTGGTATTTGGGGGAAACTGGCCAGGGCCACCCTCTGGTGTTGCCTGTAGGCCAAGGAGTGAACTGAGATAGCTGCCCCGCCTGGAAGAGGGATGGACTGTTTTCTACCTTTTCTGGTTACAGTCCCTGATCTCTACGTGTGACACAATTGGCAGTGGCACTGGGCAATCTCACATTTCAGGCCACTTAAACCATCTTTTCCTACATATGGCACAAATGGCAGCAACAGTTACTCCAGAGTGAACTCATATACATTTCAGGTGACTTGAGCCTTCTTTTTTCATGCTTAATTCTTCTCTTTCTGTACTTGACTGGCCAAGGACAAAAGAAACCACCTAGCTATGTGAAGAAGGTTATAAAGAAGAGAGATGACTGGTTGTTTAAAAAGAGGGATGATTAGGACAAGTCAGATGGTCTGGGCATGTTGTAGATGATCTGTGTGGGGCATGGCAGGTATTCATAAAACGGAATTTATGCAGGAACTGATGTACAATCTAATGTGAATTTCTTGCCTAAATTTAGATAGTAAAGGGGTTGCTTTAAGTGGGTTGGAAAAACCTTAAGGAAATCTCATAATGGGTCATCAGTGGTGGAGGGAACCATTCCAAAGAAGCACCAGCCCTCATCTAAGGTCAGAGATGTCTGAAAAACCAAGACAGGGCCCAAATGGTGGATGCCCCTGGGGACTCCAGTTGGGCCAGAATTTTTCCAGGACGATGTCTCAGGCATCACTTGGGTCAGTTGATAAACCCTCCACTATTTAAAGTCCTACTCTCTTTTCCAGACCACTATGGGCAATTCTTCATCTATTCCACCTGATTCCCTACTTGGCTGCATCCTCCACCGTAGGAATCAATTTGACCCTGATAGTCTAAAGAGAAAACATTTTTTTTTTCTGCAACGCTATTTGGCCCCAATATGAGCTGCCCAGACTGGAACAATGTGCAGTCAATGGTAGTCTTAATCGTGACACCATCCTGCAATCAGACGTATTTTGCAAGATGCAGGTCAAATGGTCAGAAATCCCTTATGTACAGATCTTCACAACCCTATACCAAAACCTAACAATCTGCAAAACTCCCAGATCCAGCCCCTTAAAAGAAAGTCTGTCTCTCAGTGTGAACAGCAACTGCCTCCATATAGCCCTTTGCCAAGTGCTCTTGAGACTAAACTCCAAACACTGGGAACCCTACTAAGTCCCTCTCACACTCAAAGGGGAAAACTGTATTTAACTCTCCCTCCAGCCCTGCTACTCCTTAGGGAAGTAGCAGTAGTTGAGGGACCAGTACTAGTGCAGGTCCCCTTCTCTATAACTGATATACAACAATGTAAGGAAAAGCTAGAAAGCTATTTCAAGAATCCCAGGAAATTTTCAGCTTTTCAAACTTTGGTCTTAGCCTTTGCTCTCTCATGGAGAGATATTCAATTCATTCTAGCAATCTGTTGCACCCCCTTGGAAAAAAGATCAAATCTTTGAGGCCACCCATGGGGAAGCAGATGATTTATTCACCTAAAGCCCTCAGGGCTATCACTTGGGCCCAAACACAGGCTCCACTATTGATCCTATTTGGGACTATAACACCC